TTAAATGGCATTTGAAACAGCCTGAAAGCCATACTTGAGAGTGCACCAGTTCTCTTGGCACCAGATTTTAATAAAAACTTTAAGTTAGCTGTAGATGCTAGTGACATAGGTGCTGGAAAGTGTATTGATCCAAGAAGACAACAATGGTGTTGACCATCCTGTTTGTTACTTTTCTAAAAAGTTTAATGAACATCAGAAAAAATTACTCTACTATAGAGAAAGAGTGCCTGCTCTTATTCTTGGGCTATTCAGCATTTTGAAGTTTATGCTAACTTCTTCAAAGTTGCCTGTTGTTGTCTTTAGTGATCACAACGCCCTCACTTTCTTGCATAAACTTAAAAAACAAAAAAAATCAAAAGGTGTTGAGGTGGAGCTTATTTTTGCAAGAATATAGTCTTGGACATTAGAAACACATTAAAGGGAAAGATAATTTGATCCCTGATGCACTTTCACGCGTGTCTAAAACTGTTATTTGCAGTATTTTAAATGTAAACATGTATATGATATGATTGATTTTTTTTTGTTGTTGTTTGCTGTTGTTTGTAATACACATATATATGAATGTATAAAATTGTTTAACATTTCTCCTATGTTATTTGTAAGTTACATTGTTTTTGGATTTATGTAAAAGAAATATTCATTTCAATTCATATTTCTTTTTCTTGAAGAGGGGAAGTGTTATGTATGCAACATATTACATGTATATAGTTTGTATCTGACCAGTTGGTTTTTCCAATATTGTCGTTGTTCTATTTTTAGAACATAAACTACATGTATGTACTAGAAGGTTCTTAACTGTTGTAGAAAACTCATGCATTATATTTAGATAGAAACTTCTGGAATGATCTTTATTGTTGAAGTTGCTAGATTATGATTACTTGAGAACATAATAGACCTTTCTGGAAACTTCTTAGTTAATATATATAAGGAGACATTTTTCATTACTCTTATCTTTAAGTCATCAGTTACCTTTTTAGTCGTCAGTGATCTTTTAAGTCATCAATATATTTGGAGTATTATTCAACTTGGAAATTAAGTGATTTATTGGAGCTTGGATTATTAATTATTCTTGTGGATTTTATTGTGGGAATTTATTCTAAAGTGTTCTTGGATTTAACTTGGATTTAACTGTGCTATTGAAAAAGGATCATTCCAGGATCAGACTAGACATTTGTAATTTTTATTTGGACTTCAGGTATTTGTAAAAATAATTTGTTATTTTTATTTTTCTTTAATAATTTTTCTGTAATAAATTTGTTATTGTTACAAGTTTGTTGCTGGCTTTTCTTTCTCGTTACGCCTGGCTCGTAACAAACTTTATACATGTATAAATATCATTCCTCAAGCAGATAACCTCAGGGCAAACTAGAAATCTAGATGATGTAAAATAATGAATATGTCAATAATTATATTTCAGTAAATTGTCAACGAAAAATTGAGGATTTAGAAAGAGTTCCCGGGCTGAATGCTGACATGCATTTTAAAGTGACTGACTTATTTGAGTGTATAATTCTATTTCTAATTAATAAATTTCTGTACAAAGTACCTGTATTGCTTGAATCAGTTGCAAATCTTTAGATAACTCTTTCTTCTCCACTGCTTTTTCTTTTCTTTTATCTCTTTCAATAATTTTCTGACAAAAATAAAACACAATTGTTACAATCTTACAAAATATAATCATAAATCTTTCACCAAAAACTTCAAATATTCTGCATGCTTTTATAAACTTTGAAGATATATTATACTCATCTTTGAAAAAAAGTATTTTTATTATAGAAATTTATTGAAGTCTAAGAAATTGTTAATGCAGGTCTAATTTAAACATGAGGGCCATGATGGCCCTGAAGTCGCTCACCTATATATAGGCCCCCAGGGCGGGGCCAGTTTAAACCCCAGGGCTTTTATTTGAACAAACTAGGTAGACACCCATTAGAAGATATTTCACGCTAAACTTCTAAGGACTAGCTTGTTGAGTTTTTTAAAAAAAGATTTTTTAAGTTTTAACTATACACATATAGTTAAAAGCAATGACACCCCTAGGGCGGGGCCAGTTTTGACCCCAGAGCTTTTATTTGAACAAACTTTGGAGACACTCACTAGAAGATGTTTCATGCTTGATATCTAAACTCTAACTATTCTGTTTTTTTTTTAAAGAAGATTTTTAGGTTTTTGCTATACACATATAAGGAAAATCAATGTCACCCAGGGCAGGGCCAATTTTGACCCTAAGGCTTTATTTGAACAAACTTTGATGACACTTACTGGAAGATGTTTCATGCTAAATACCTTAACTCTAGCTATTTGGGTTTTTTCAAAGAAGATTTTTGCTATACACATAAATAAAATCAATGACCCCCTGGGGCAGGGCCAATTTTGACCCAAGGGCTTTTATTTGAAAAAACTTTGTAGACATTCACTAGAAGATGTTTCATGCTTAGTATCTAAACTCTAGCTATTTGGTTTTTTTTTCAAAGAATTTTTAATTTAAAGTTTTTGCTTTACACATATATTGAAAATCAATGACCCCCCGGGGCAGGGCAAATTTTGACCCAAGGGCTCTTATTTGAACAAATTTGGTAGACACCCATTAGAACATGGTTCATGCTAAATATCTTACCTCTAGCTCTTTGGGTTCTTTAAAAGAAGATTTTTAAATTTTTACTATATGCATATAGGGAAAACCAATGACCCCCTGGGGCGGGGCCAATTTTGACCCCAGGGCTTTTATTTGAATAAACTTGATAGAAACCTATTAGAAGATGTTTCATGCAAAATATCTTAGCTCTAGCTCTTTGAGGTCTTTAAAAGAAGATTTTATAAGTTTTTACTATATGCATATAGGGAAAATCAATGACCCCCTGGGGCGGGGCCAATTTTGACCCTAGGGCTTTTATTTGAATAAACTTGATAGACACCTATAAGAAGATGTTTTTTCTATCGGTTGCCATGGCAACCAGAGTTCTGCATGGAATTAAATTCTTTGAACAATTTTTAAAGGTGACCACCAAAGGAACATTCCTGTGAAGTTTGGATGAAATTGGCTCAGCGGTTTATGAGAAGATGTCATTTAAAGTAAAAGTTTACGGACGACGGACAGACAACGGACGGATGGACGCCGGACGAAAAGCGATCACAAAAGCTCACCCTGTCACTTTGTGACAGGTGAGCTAAAAAGAGAAAAGAGACTGCACTAACTATGCATAAGAAGCTGCATGATAATTCTTATAACAAATCAAGCTAATGTGGTCCTTGTTTACAAAATAATACTGCCAATTTTTCTAGGGGACACTATATATTCATACTGTGGTTACCTATAGTGTGTAATATTTCAAATGTGACTTATCGACTCTATGTACTTAAAACATGCTTTAAATTATTAAGCTAGTGTGTACAAATTATGAAAATTTTAAAATATCAAATTTGACCATAATTTTAATATTTTTACAATAAATTTAAATCAGATTCTATAACTTGGTAATCATACAGTCAATGAAAGAGATAAATCTTATGTACAGTGAAAGAATATTGCAGTTTTTTTTTTAGCTGTTTACAAGATAGCATGTATATGGTATCATTCCAGCTGTTACTCCTTGAGGACAACAATGCATGCAGTTATTTTTTTAAAATGAGACAGCACTATAACAGAACCACCAACTAACTACTAGTTTGCCAGATTGTTTTGTGACCACGTAATCCAAAATAATTGACAAATACATACATCTATGTACACATGGAATAACTCAAATAAAATTATACAAAACAATTTATCTTTTTCCTTTGACAATAAAATACAAAATTAACATAGATCTATATCAAATAAAGATAAATATTTTAGTAATATCTATACCTGGAGCTTAGCTGCCTTTTGTCTGGTTTCTAGTATTTTTGCATCCTTTGGGTCAAACTTTGCTGATGTTAAAGAAAATGTTTGCTTCTTTTGCAAATAGCTATATTTTTCCAAACAATTCAAAGTAACAATTAACTCATAACTGCTCAACAAATTATGTTCACCTTTTGTTTCTAAGACTTTCTTTCCTATTTTCAAGTCACTTTTGTATGAAGTATTTCTATGTTTAAATTTACCTTAAGCTTTCAGAAAACTAAGCAGAGTACAGTTATAATGATCCATCAATAAATTATTAGAAATGGCTTTAAAATATTTATATTTTTATCTCTAGTTATCCTTTAACCAATGGCTGAAAATGACTTAATAAATACCAAATCTGCAACCTTTGCCACAGTCTTGAAACAATCTTTTTTCAGAAAACCTTGATGATACTGAGAGTAAATGGTTATACAACATAGTTTTGCCTTGCATATAAATAATGGTACAAAGGTAACATGTAGTTCAAGGATACAGTAAGAGCCTCATCACACCATTTGAAACAGTCCTCATATTTCTTCATCTGTAAGTTACACATAGCACCTGTAGGTGTAACAATTAAACAGAAAGCTATAAAATAGTTTTTATTGAAAAATAAGTAAAACAAGCACATATATCAAGAATATTTTTAATAACTAATCATATAGTATTAATAACTATATAGACTGAAGACATGGATTCATCATACTTTAAATATATGTCTACTTTAACTTTAAAGGGAGACACAGGCAAAATTTTCATTTCTACTTTTAAAATTTTCATTCATTATTCTGTAAATGTTCTCAAAATGAATACACTAGGCAGTCACAGGAACAAAATTGTTCTCCTTATAAAGAATAAATGGTGATTTCCCAACCTGACCCATGTGAGTCAGGTTAGTGTTAAGATTTCACAATAGTTGTCACTCTGGTAAAGTTAAAGAACATGTCAAATGAATGACTTAGACTTGCAAGCATGCAATATCCACAATATCTGTTATTGTAACTTCCAGGGTTTGTTCAAGTCACATGATTGTTTTAAAACTACACGGTGATTCTGTCGGCTTCTCAATTTCGTTAAATACATAGATATACCTGTATGTATTCATGCTTCAAACCCAAAATATAAAGAATTTATACAGAAATTCATGCTGGGACTGAAGAGTAAGTTCATAAGATCATTTCAATACTTTTGTCATTAATTTGCCTGAGTATCCCTTTAAAGAAGGCAACCAGCATCTGTAATACATGTAGCAATAATTTCAGGAACGAAAGATCAATATTTTGTCTTGAAGTTCAAAGATAAATCATGCCCTTTCAAAGCTTTTGATTCAATGGTCAACTTTTAAAAAACTCTTATTAATGAAATACTTTTTTCATTTTATAGGAGAGAAGCACTTGAACATTCTAACACTGGGCTTACGATGTAAATTGAGCCTCACCTCTGTGAATTGCCTTGTAGTGATCTGGTTTAAATTTTCGAGCAAAAATACAGTCATTTAATGCCGTTCTGTAATTTTCTGGAGAAGAAAAAAATCAACAAATTACAATCTGTACATGCAGACGTCACTGTGGTTTGCCTACCTTCATATAAAACCTAGATAAAACATAATAAACTTGAATAATAGTAATAATGATTATGATTATGAATAATACTAATACATGTACTAGTAATAATAGTGGTGGCGTGGCCGAGTGGTTTAATTGTCGGACTAATAATCTAAAAATTGCTGACCATGTGGGTTCAAACAATGTCAGGGACAAGCTATTGTTTCATTGAGCAAGAAACTTACACTCAATGCTCAGTACTGTTTGGTTCCAGGAAATGATTCACGAGTGTTTCAATAAGCTTATAGTTTACAACACAATTGAACTTAAATAAATTTGTATAAACTAATAATAGTAATTACAACATCATTTCATCTGTAATTTATAGATAATATATATAATCTCATGCTGTATTACTAAACAATAAGTTAAAACATTATTTTATTATCAAACATTATTATATCTTTAGTTTCAGACAAAGTGTCACCATTAATATAAGTGTATGATGTAGTAAAATTGTAGGAATAATAGATACATAGTATTGAAAATAATACATCAACAGAAGTCATGACTGCATGTCTGGAGAATGTGAGAAATAAAAGTGATAAATACAAGTATTTCTTAATGATATTTGTCTAGGAAAATTTGTCATGTAATTTTAAAATAGATTTTATTGTTTTTTGATGTTGTTGTTTTCAGATACTAGTATATCAAATACTTGAAATGCCATCTACAAAATTCAAAAATGCATTTTCATTAGAGAATAAAATTCATCTGATGATTTTTTCTCAATGATTTTTTTTACAAGAAAATAAAACATATCGACAGTAAGGTAAAAATATTAAAATGATCCATCATTTTGGAAAAAAACAAAACATTGAATTTTTTATATGATTGAATATTAAAAGGCCAAGCACTGTCTTCTGGTTGGACCTTGGAGTGGATTTCTTTTTCTTAATTTCAACTATCAACTTCATTTTCCTGTTTAGTAAATAAATGTTTTAATTGCAGAAAAACTTGAAATAAGAACTACAGAGGTGTCTATAGGTCATGGAAGCTTCCACATTGTACTGTTTTTTTACATTTACAGACAGCCTGACAGCAGGACATTAGACAAGTGAAATTCTTTATGTCCCCGCAGACAGGGTTTCATATACATGTACATGTATATGAAATACTACAAAATGCATCTTTAACAGAATTTCATGTTAATTTTAAAGTGATTCAAGTTTTACTTCATCAATTACAATATTTACCTAGATGATAGTTAGCTGCTGCCCTGTTTGTGTATAACACAGCATTAAGTTTCTTGTCTGAACATTTGCACTTGATGCCCTCTGTGTAATTATCTACAGCAATATGATATTTCTTCTTCTGAAACTCATGGTTACCATCATCTTTATATGCTTCTGCTCTTCCTATTTATAAAGAAACAAAATATTTCCACTTTCATCAGGTGTTTTGGTTTGAGAAACATGCCGCTAGATTGATGTTAATATTCATGAAAATGGAAATAAAAAGAAGCTGAAAAGTGTACAAATAACACTATTCTACCTAGTATAAATGTAAGTTTTAACAGAAAATACTGTATTTAATAAAGTATTTATAACATGTAAAAATATGCAAAAATAGACCATAGTAATAGACCATAGTAATGCGGTAGAAAGTATGGGGTAAAAAATTGATAATTCTGTAGTATTTAGCATTTAACTAGTAATGCATCACTGAAAGCTTGGATATTTCTCTAATTTTTAATATATTTTTTGTTAATTACATTTTTTCTATAAATTGTTTACTCATCTACAGGCATAAGATGGCATAGTTAAAAAGAGCAAAGGAAAGGAGATTATTAAAATTAAATCATTATTTATCATCTTCAAAGCCAACTGAAGCCATCTCAGAAAAAGTACTGTATTTGTTTTGTCAACAGAAAACATAAACATTGTAACTGTGTCAGCCTGAGTCACTTATCGAAGTGGATCGATTTAAGCACCATATACTATATAAGCATGATAAACAGCAGACGAACACTAACCTTATATAACAAACGTAACAGCGGTTAAAAATATATCTTGTATACCTGTAGGATCATCACATTCATATTTAAGCCTCATCAGACCCTCCATGTCCTCGGTCATAGGTTTACTAGGGTCCCATTCCTTCATAAAAGCAGGGTGATTTTCTAACTCCTATCATGAAGTAAAAATCAGATATGTCAATTAATGTGACATATGTCCATAAAGTATATGTTTAGATTCCAAATGGTGCACATTTGTTAGTTAAAATGTATTTCATAATCTATAAAAGAATGACAGTGTTATAGATATAGACATGACATGAAAAATTCTTGACCTTTGACCTATATGTTGTTACCTTTGTGCTATGGGCCAAACACCATTCTGGTGAAAATGTGTGTTAGCAAAATTAAAATCTATCAAAAATGACAACTTGAAAGCTTGGCTTTGACATTTTAGTGTGATCCTGACCATTAAGGGAACTCTACTAAAAACATAAAGTATGAAAATCTAACAAATATCAAGTGATGCACTTTAAATGGAAAAACACTGCAAAGATTAGAACTCCACTGCATTTTTTTGACATGATGGAACTGAAAATATTTTTTTTTTTGAGATTAAGTTTCCATTTGATGTTGGTTAACATTTGTAACTCGTGTGGAAACTTTACGATCATTCACTCACTTTTTTTTCCCCAGAACAATTATTGTCATTGTGAAAAAATGACCCCAAATTGAAAGTTTTGCAATGCTTTTCTCTCACATCAGGTTAAGAATAGCATACAAATTTGATATTCAATTTGTTGCCATGGTTTCTGAGTATATTCTTAATCATCTGTTACATATCTTTCTGTATCTAGGCTCATCTATGTAAGAAATTTGAATTCTATATTTTTGGCTTTCAGACCTCAGTGAAGTTCCTTTAACAATGAAATATACTCGGAATATATAATCTAAAAACAGTTTTGGTGCAATTCTCACCCTCATATGAGTGTGCAACTAACATCATTTGGGATAGTTTTGCACAATAAAAATGACTATTCTGGAAAAATGGGGTGAGAGAATGCCTTAAAAAGTTGCACACAAGTTATTTGTTTAATCTTCATCAATCTTCAGGAAATCTCAGGAAAATATTTCTAGTACTGTCATGTCAAAATATAATGTTGGTAGCTAAATAATTGTACTTTGTTAAAATTTAAATGAACAGTTTCAAATCCAAAGCATAGCAAATCCTCAACACAAAGTCAGCTGGTTAATGTTTAAATTTCACCAGACCTCTAGTTGCTGTTCGAATGATTTTCCTTCTAGTTCTTCTGGTTTTTTCATTTTTGACATGGCATCAATAAGGCTATCTAGCCCATCATCTGTTAGGCCGGCACCGCCAGAACTATCTGACATCATTCTGAAATCATAAGTAACCCAGGTTACTAACTAAAAACTTAATTCATACTAAGAAATGATGAACAATTTTTTCAAAAAGATTACATGAACAAATGTAAACCCCTCTATTTAATGCAATGTCAACATTTATGTTTCTTTTAATTGTGAATGGTTCCGGTACAATGGCAATTGTGAAAAAAATCACCAAATTGTGAATTTTTTCTTAAAAAGGAAAATTTATATACACAGATCTACTTTAATTGAACTTAACTCAGACTGGTTATTACCTTTTCTGTTCATTTTCTATGTAACATAAAAATACTATTTTGGATTACCCAAATCACCCTTTATCTATCATTCAGATATTTCACAAACAATTTACCATTCTTCAAGGGCATTTTTCGTCTGTTACAATATTACCTGAGGTATACCTTGTATTTATATCAAGTTGTTTGCAATGTACAACTTGATCAGAATAGGTTCTAAAAATTTGACTAGTTTGATGACAAATGTATTTCATTAAAGAATCATTATTTGGTTACCATACGACTCAAAGATACATTATAATATGTTCAGTCCAAAAAAGTATATAATCATCAAAAATACTGCTGCAAGATTCCCATTTAGATGGGTTTTATAAAATTGAAAGGCCCTGGGTTAGCATACATTTTTTGCAATTTCAACATTTACTAGCATAAAAACATGAGACTTGTATTACACAGGGATAAGAAGCTCTAAAAATAGAAAATGTTCCAATCCTGACCCACAATCCATTGCATGAGATTCATTGGCACATGATGTTGATCAATTTCAGCAATCTTGTTTTACGAAACCTAATGAGAATAATTTACAAACTGAGAATAATTTACATATTCTTAATCTTTATTGCTTTTTACATTTTTTGTTACTTCTTTTGATTACCGCAACAAATTTTAGATAACATGGCCGTGCACAATGTTCATATTGGTAAATTTTCTCATATCAAACATCTTCTTGGGAAATCTTGCAAAGATGTAAATTTGTGTGATAATAAAACCCCAATAGAGATTTGAAGTACCATAAAATTCCTAATAAATGCCCCTCCCCTAATAAAGGCCCCAAGGTCTTTTGATAAGGAAAACAATCTACTCATCAATGCTGAACTCATAGGAATTTTACGGTATATTACATAAACGTTTCCTCTCCATTCAAACCCTTTCTGAAAACTGTGATTGACTGTTTGTGATTTTAATGAAAAAAAATCGCTGAATGTTATCAAAGTATATAAACCATTCTACCCTGTCTTGCGAGCCTATACAATTCAATATGTAGGTCTAACCTGTCTTGCGAGTACACACACATGTTACTTCTGATCACTGTACTCTTCTTGGTAGCCTTTATATTTTAACTTGGTAGCCTTTATATTTTAACTTGGTAGCCTTTATATTTTAACTTGTATCTTTTTTGCAAGAACAGGAAGTAGACTGATTAATATACTGTCATTATACTAAGGGTAATTCTGTTTCATGGTCTACCAGTCCTCCATCAAAGTACAGTTTTTTCTCTAACCGAGGTAAAAATTCCCCTCAAAACATATAAAACATATCAGAAAATAATAAAGAAAAGTTATGCTGTTTTTGACAAGTAAAATCAATCTGCTTATGAGTGTTTTTGTATTCAGAGTATTTTATATCTGCATCAGTCTCCGTTTCACATTGGTTCAATATTTGTATGGATGAACACTCATCCTCGAAAAAAAAGATTTAATGTTTTATTCACAGGCACGAGTATCGGACCTGGGAAGAAAAAATATGACCAGATTGATAAAAAAAACCTGTGTTCATCTTAAAAGTGTCAATAAAACAAAAACAAAATGTAAATAATGACCCCTTTAAAAATATACTATAAGTTAAGAGAAGGCCGGAAACTCCAGATTCGAGCCTACGAGCAAGGGATGCATTTCCTAACTTATAGCATATTTTTAAAGGGGGTCATTATTTACATTTTTTTTTTTTTTTGGACACTTTTAAGATGAACACAGGTTTTTTGTATCACTATCAATCTGGTCATATTTTTTCTTCCCACGTCCGATACTCGTGCCTGTGGTTTCATTGTGATGTAAGATATTGATTCATTATTTATAAACATTGTAAAAAACTTCATCACTGTTCATAATAATTTTAAATACTGATTTATATACTGAGTAATTTGTGATGAAAAACAAAAAAAATATAGTGAATTAGGAATTGTATCGCGAAAACTGAAGACAAATCATATCTTCATATATTTATCAATATTTTGAAAAGTAAAATACGTTTGTATCCCATTTAATACACAATTTAAAATATTTTGTGAAGGAAACAAACCTGTGTCCTTTCTTATTTAAGTAATACTCGCATAAAATACTCGTAAATGTGACTCAGCTAAGCATGGAATACAGCGCCACCTATGAAAACATCATTTGTGCTGCTTCGGACATTACCACACACCCTACTTTCATTTTGACAGGATGGCATCTGACATGATAAAAGAGCTGATTTTGTCTGAATTTATGGAACTTCAGCATAGTTGTCATGATTCACTGAAGTCTTGCGCTGGTGAGTGTATTTACTGTATTCAAAATAACCATATTGGTACCATTCACTGATAAGACTGGACTTTGATTTACCCATTTTGTTTACCTAGAGATTATCTTTGTGTAATATCAGTTTGGAGAGACAATAGACAATATATCTTTCAAGGATTGCATACAATAAATAATAAAATGCTTTGTCTCATTCTACTTAGATTATACTTCAAATTTTTAAAGATTTTTTTATTATGACTTGACTCCTGCAATCTTGATTAAGTCTTTAGTTGTTTTTTTTTGCCCAAACTATAGGGCTTTTCAAAATATATTTTGAAAGACTCTAGCTGTATATGCCTATTGTGTACAGTGGGTTTTTAATAAACATTTTTTCTTTCAAAATGTAAAATAAAATTATTGATAAAATTAAATTAAAATACATTAAGTGTTGCTAGATTCTTTTAAAGATAATTTAAAGACACACCGCAGACCTGTCTAACAAATTATACTAGAAATCATAATGAAAATTATACTGCAGTAAGTGAAGCCAACTTAAATTAAGGAAATCAGAATCTTATATCATTATACAGTACAGTTCATATTCAAAAACATTCTTTAGGGAGCCTGGCGTATGGGTTGATCACTGAGCTTTGTATATACACCCTGTGCGTTAATGCCCCAGAGCGGGTTATGTACAGTAGAAGAAGAAGACATCTAAGCTATAATAACAGTAAAGACCAATCAAAGAAATCCATACCTATATAAAATGTATATGATAGGTATGGATTTTTTTAAAATCAGGCTTTATTGCTATTATATAAAACATTGTTTTTATAAAAATTAAATATTACATCTTTGATATAGTATTTTTTTACTGTTCATAATTGTTTCCATTTTAGAGGATTCAGCATGTTTACAAAAATGTATGATGAAGTGCCAAGGGGTAACAAGCAATTTTCCAGCAACAATATCTGGTGGACAAGTCAGTTACTATCTACAACAATTTGCAGAGGTCTGTTTGTTTCTGAGTTGAAGAAGCTAGGTCACTTGAGTTATTTAATCATGTCAATGAAGTAAACTCACTATTTATAACCACATACCCGGTATATTATTTATTGAATGATTTAAGGACTATATAATGTCTCAAGATAAGGTAATTATATCAAAAGAAATTACCAAAATAATCCAGAGCATCCAGGATTGTCATTAGGAGTTGGTTTTGAAATGCATTTTGGGCTGCCTTAAAACTTAGGAAAATCTCCTTGGTTTATGAGATTAACAGAAAAATGACTGCCTTAATTAGATTTAAAACAAACCATCTCAGAAAGATTTTGAAGGACATTCCTGATACCCTGACAATGCGTACGTGGCCGAGTGGTTAAGGTCGTTGACTTCAAATCACTTGCCCCTCACTGCTGTGGGTTCGAATCCCAACAGGGACTTTGGATTCTTTCAAGTGAAGAAGCTATCCAGCTAGCTTACGGAACGTCGGTGTTCTACTCAGGTATCCGTTCGTGCCTGAAATAATGCGTGGAAGGGCACCTGAGGTCTTCCTCCACCAGTAAAGCTGGAATGTCGCGATATGATCTATACTGTGTCGTTGTGACGTAAAACCCAAAACAAACAAACAATAAAATTACCTTTATGAAGTACTGAGAATAAGCTAGCGTGCCAGACTTTCGGACAACTCTTGTTGTGATAAACATAACGATACAGTATTTGGAGGTTACATACCACTGCAATAACAAACCAGCAGATTTTGTACCATTAATATATTTTTGATATACATGTATATGATTTTTTTGATAATTGACAAGTACATGTCGTCCTAAAAATTTATCATTTTAAAATCTTAATTTGTATGAATAGACAGCAGTTATTTTTTTTACCTTTAACAGGCTGTTTTAGACTTTACATACCATGATGAACAAATACTCACAAATATTGATGAATTTCCTGAACAAAATTCAAAGGAAAGAATAGCTGTAATTTTTGGTAAGCATATATTAAATAAGTGAATATCTAATTCAGGGAAGTTGACCTGGAAATAAAAATGTGACAGAATGAATATCTTTAATACAGGGATGACTTAAAATTACCAGTCCACTGCTTTTTAGATTCACAATAACCACTGTCACATTGGTAATCAATTTGTATACAAAAGTTGCTTAGTGAATTTATGGATTTAATATTATATGAATATAAAGAGGATCAAAATCTCTAATTAAGTTATTTGATAATCATTGAATTGAGAGTGGTTATCTACTGTTTATCAGATATTATCATTTCAAAATGCAATTTTTGTGACATATAGGGGTTACTTTTGTCGGCCGTGTCAGCGTCTCCTAAAGTTTGTCCGGAGCATAACTCAGTCACTATAAGTTGGATTGACATCAAACTTGGTATGCATGCTTCTTTCAATTACCCAAAGTGCAGTGGACAAGGACCGGTACTCTGAATTTCTTCTTTTTTTGAATTATAGTCCTTTGTTGATTTTCATACTTTATTTTTGTGCGGGCCATTTCTTATGATTTATAATAGCTATGGGCTTGAAACTTCATAGGATGATAGATCTCATTAAGAAGAAGTGCAGTGCACAAGAACTGGCTCTCTTTTTTTCTTATTTTTGAGTTATTGCCCTTTGTTAATTTTCATACTTTATTTTTGTCTGGGCCGTTTTTCCTAAACAATGAAAGCTATTTACTTTAAACTTCATAGAATGATAGATCTCATTAAGAAAAAGTGTTGTGGACAAGAACCGGTACTGTGCACTTCTTATTTTTTTTAGTTATTGCCCTTTTTTAATTTTCATACTTTATTTTTGTCCGGCCATTTTGCCTTAACTATAAAAGTTTTGGACAGGAAACTTCATAGGATGATAGGTCGCATCGAGATGAAGTGCAGTGTACAAAAACTGGTACTCCATGGTTTTTGAGTTATTGCCCTTTGTTAATTTTCATACTTAACTTTTGTCAGGGCCATTTTTCTTCAACTATAAAAGCTATGGACTTGATTATCTTCATAGGATGATAGATCTCATAAAGAAGAAGTGCAGTGCACAAGAACTGGTACTTTGCACTTCTTATTTTTTTAGTTATTGCCCTTTAGCAGTGTTTATAAATATCCTGCATTTAAGAAGAAAATGCTTAAGTGACAACTATACTGTTCACAAGGCAACACATCCGACTCGTGGAGTTCTAGTGATTCTAAGCTTGAAGATTGATATTTCACTTGTCACCAATTTCAAATGTCAAATCCAAATGTTCCTCATCAAAAATAGATTGTACAAATGAAAAAAGGGACGCAGAACCCATTAGTGTAGTGGAATAAATCGATCATGAAATTATGTAATTTCATGTAAACGATTTCTTGTTTAATTGGTGCCTAATACAATTCAAAACCTGTAATACTTACTTAAGTTTCAATCAGTGCCAATAATTTTTATCGAAAATAAAGGACACAAAATTAATTTGATATTTTTACTTGATAATGCTTTGTTACAAATTATATACATGTATGTAAGATATTTATTTTAACAGTTTATCTGGACAAGATAAAGAGCATGTGTGGAAAGATTTCACCAGGAAGTAGACTGGAGGAATTGCTGGGTAATGAGATAGCCGAGTGTATTTTATGGCGGAAGGGGGCTCTGCTGTATGGGTATTGTGAAACTGTACGCAAAGACGAGGAGAGGTTACAGAGAGGGATGATAGAATATAGACAGGTTGATATTATATATTACTCCAGTTGTTTGTATAAAGTTTTAATGAATGCATTTTTGCGACGGACGCGCCCTCAGGCGCGTTCAGAGCTAAGTCATCTACACATGGGATTTCGTTGGCTACACTCGCGCAATGTGTCCTAAACCAATTAACAGCCCAAGAAATAGTACATGAATTTGACCCTTCAAAACTCCCATACTTTGTCTGGATATCTTAATGTCTTCCATATTTAGCCTTTTCAATTTCAAATTAAATTATCCAAGTTAAAATATGAACGTATATTATTGATAAAAACGTTGTAGTCCCGTAGTATTATTGCGCAATATGCAAATTACTGCTGAAACGATTTACCGCTGTCGAAAGTAGGACAGCAAATTATACTTCAATAAAGGTGTAACCTCTGAGTTCCAAGACATTATTAGTAGGAAATAAATATTTCTACATTATACAAAACATTATTATTACAAATCAAAAGTTTTTCGTGACTCTAGGATAACTCGCGCATTAATAAAAGAAGAACTATTTTCGTGACTCATACCGCGGGTTTAGCTGAATATTCAGCAGTTATTAATATATTAGATACAGTACAATGGCTAGTATAAATATCTATTTTTGAAAATGCATGTAAGACACTTTACCGCCATGTAGTCTTTCATGGTAAGGAAGTTATAATATCAGTTCTACTTCCGATTCTTGTGGTTTGTTTACATATTTTACTAGGTCATGATATGAGTTAACCTTCGCTATTCTAAAAATAGATTCTGCTTCACCTGTTCTGATTTTTGGACAGGCGATTATAGGAAGTACACATTAAACATGTAATTAATAAACCAGCGGATTGTAATGCAATACTTTTAGAAATGCTATACAATTGTAAGAAGCAAACAAGTTGAAAATGGAATTTAGTGTGAAGTTGAAAAGGACAACTAAACACTGTAGTGCTTAAGTGACATTTAAATTAAAATAAAAACGATGTGCTCTGGCCTCTACATCTTTACCTTGTAAATAAAAAAAATCTAAGAAATACACTATTAATTGCTGATGATTTTAACCAATTTTTTTTTAATGAAACATATCCAAGAGAAATAAAAATACAAATGACTTATATTTTATTGTCTGTATGCCCACTATGATATAACACGAAGCAATTCTAAATAGCATTCTCAAATGTATAATGTATTATGTTTGAAGTTTATTTGCCTGGATTTATTCTAGAAATATTTCGTTGATAGTTTTTTTTCTATTTACATATCATTTCTTAGAATAAATCGATAAGGACACTGATTTACAAGTTTGACCAGAGTTTTTAGGCATAAATTTCATTCTGTATTTAAGTGCTTGAAAGTAGAAAATCTGAATTATATCAATTTGGGACACAAAATATATTGCTCTACAAATCTCGAACTTGTATGGAACAAATTTTCTCTGTTATATATTTTGTGTTTTGTTTTTTTTTTTTTTTTTTTTTTCTAAAAGAAGCCTTAATTAATGTCTCTCCGGTTGCATGTCTGTCGCATTCAGTGCTGCAGCACTTTGATTACAAGGTGCCAGGCTAGTTGGTATAAAACAAAATTACACAAGTGACAAGAGTGATATACATGTACATTAGACTTTTTCATCCAATGAGGAGACATCACTGAAAAGAATTCTTATGTGACTCCTTTTGAGCTTTTTAAGTCATTTTACAAAATTTTTATGCCACCGCAGCATCTGCGATGCGGTGGCATATTATAGCGATTCACCTGTGTTTGGTTTGTGTGTGTGTGTATTATATAGATTACATAGTGAACTTAAAAAATCTTCTTGTGAAAAACCACTAGTCCAATTTAAACCAAACTTGGCAGGATTGATCCTTGGGTGAAGGGCTTCCAAAGTTGTTCAAAGAATTTCATTCAATGCAGAAATCTGGTTGCCATGGCAACCGAAAGGAATTATAAGAATAAATTTAAAAAATCTTCTTGTAAAGACCCAAAAGGCCTAGAGCTTAGATATTTTGCATAAGGCATTGTCTGGTAAACCTCTACCAAGATTGTTCAAATTATAGCCCTTGGGTCAAAATCGGCCCCGCCCCAGAGGTCATTGATTTTCACTATATGAACATATAGTAAAAACTAAAAATACCTTCTTGTAAAGACCCAAAAGGCCTAGAGCTTAGATATTTTGCATAAGGCATTGTCTGGTAGACCTCTACCCAGATTGTTCAAATTATAGCCCTGGGGTCAAAATGGGCCCCGCCCCGGGGGTCATTGATTTTCACTGTATGGACATATAGTTAAAACTTAAAATACCTTCTTGTAAAGACCCAAAAGGGCTAGAGCTTAGATATTTTGCATAAGGCATTGTCTGGTAGACCCTTACCAAGATTGTTCAAATTATAGCCCTGGGGTCAAAATCGGCCCCGCCCCAGCGGTCATTGATTTTCACTTTATGTACATATAGTTAAAACTTAAAATACCTTCTTATAAGGACCCAAAAGGCCTAGAGGTTAGATATTTTGCATAAGGCATTGTCTGGTAGACCTCTACCCACATTGTTCAAATTATAGCCCTGGGGTCAAAATCGACCCCGCCCGGGGGTCATTGGTTATCCTTATATGTATATAGTAAAAACTTACAGTAAAAACTTTTTAAAAAATCTTCTAGTAATTGACAAATGCTAGAGGTAAGATATTTTGCATGAAATATTGTGTAGTGAAGCTCTAGCAAGATTGTTCAAATTATAGCCCTGGGATCAAAATTGGCCCCACCCCTAGGGGTCATTGATTTTCACTATGAACATAGAGTAAAAAATTAAAAAATCTTCTTATCTGAAGGTACAAGGCTTAAAGCTTTGATATTTGGTAATATCATCTTTGGGTCCTCTACTAAAGTTGTTTTGATTATGCCCCTAGTGTTGAAATTGCCCTGCCCCAGAGGCGCTAGATTTCTCATATGTATAAAGTAAAAACTTGAAAAATCTTCTTCTCTGAATTGACAAAGGCTAGAGTTTGAATATATGGCATGAGACTTTGCGAAGTGAACCTCTATCAAGATTGTTCAAATTTTAGCCCTGGGGTCAAAATTGGTTCTGCCCCGGGGGTCATTGATTTACATTATATACATCTAGTAAAAAAATAAAATAATATTTTTGTCTGAAGGTACAAGGCATAGAGCTTTCATGTTTGCTATATAATATCATCTATAGGTACTCTACCAAAGTTATTCAAATTTTTCCCCTGGTGTCAAAACTGGCCCTGCCCAGGGGCATGATTCTCATTATGTACACTTAGTAAAAACAGAAAATAAAACAAATGTTTTCTGAATGGGAGAAAGCTTCAGCTTAGATATTTGACTTGAAATGTTGTTTGGTGGACCTGTATCAAGATTATTTTGAATTAAACCCTTGGGTCAAAATTTTGCCTTGACCAAGGGGACAGTGACCTACTTTCTTGTCCTTTGATGTACAGCAATGAAATTTTGACCATGTGCACAGTTTTACATGTAGTTGTAAAATTGAACTTTGATATCAGGTGACCTAGATTTTGATAATGTGACCTACTTTCTTGTGCTTTGATCTACAGCTATGAAATTTGAACCATGTGCACAGATTAAGATGTAAAGTGGACTTTGATATCAGCTTACCTAGATTTTGACAAAGTGTCTTACTGTGTTGTCCTTTGATGTAGTCATGAAATTTAGGCTGTGTGAAATATGACCTTCACCACCAAATTCACTAGACTCAAGTGCATTGATATATTCCTGCTCTGATCTTTTATTTGATTAACAATAGATTTAATCACTAATCTGATAATAAGAATTAGATAGGTCAGGGATCTATGCATTATGACAATCTTCAATTGTATAGAAACAAAAAAAAATATGTTCCTACACTACTATTTAGTGTTGTATTAATGCGGTGGCATAGCATTTTTCTCAAATGCAATCTTGTTCATATTAGCATCTACTACATGACAAGAATAACTTACTTATATAATTTTCCTCTTATTGTTTACTTTACTTTATAGCTAAGCCAAAATGAAGGAATTAGTTTTCCTCATGCATAGGCTATACACTAGGTTATTGATATGTTTTTATGAAAGTTGATGAACATAATGTAAATTTTATATGCATCCTTGATACACAATACAAGCAATATAGTGTGATATATAAAATAGTCAATCTGTTAGTGTACATTTTTTTTCAGTCAAAAATGAACATATTTTCATTAGAAAAGTTAAACATGTAGGTATATGTAAGATATTAAAAAAATTAGGAGGCTTATAGTTTTTCAGCATCCTTCTTAATTTGATTTTTAAAGTAACTAAGCATTAATATGTTGGACAGCATGACCATGTCTCCAGCTCAGAGTCAAGGTTACACTTCAAAATCAAGATATTAGTTTTTCATAAAAGTGCATAAATGGTCATGTCTGGTGGATAATTCTGTAATTCCTGGATGGGGTTTTAAGTAATAATGTATAAATTTGTTGGCCATGATGAGGACATGTCATTGGCAAGAATCTTGTATCAAGCTAAAAGGTCACACTGTTACATTCAAAGTCTTAATATGATTGTGAAAAGATGGTTGTGTCCACTTGATGACTTTGTCATTCATAGATAGCTTAAGAAATCGTTCTTCATAATTATTTGGCACATTAAGCTGATGTTTTGCACACTAAAACAAGATCTGACGCGGAAAAGTTAATGTCTCATTTAAAAATTAAAGGAAAGTTTTAATCATTGTGTATTGATATTGATGTTCATGTCAAGTTAACAGTTGTGTCATTAATTAGGGGATTTTGAAATAACTGGACATGTGTTGCATTTTAAGATGATGTGTCGCTTGTAATAACTATATTGTTTTGATACAAGAGAAAACATCATTGCCAAGAGAGGCATAAAATACATGTCTGTTTATGTCATTCAACTCATAATTAAAATACAATATTGTTCTTTAAATGTTGCAGTTGGCAACCAACCATAAGAACTGGGCCACCCACAGCTTTGGGCTGCTGAACTGGAATTTTGTTCACTTCTTTTCATCTTAAAAAGCTGCATAGTTATATATAATAATTTCAAAATCCATTCATGAATAACAAATTTGTTCACAAAATACAAACATCTATTGGGCGCATCAATATAGAATGATTATTGTGCACTTTAAACAATCTTTATTTTAGCTATTTGATAATAAAATATTATATTCATGTAGGTTCATTACTGAACTATTTGCATAAAATAATATTTTGTCTCGCCAGAGGCTAGCATAATATAATTTTATTCAACTTGTTCAATAAATTCAGCATTGAACCCACACTCATTCAATACCTTATATATGTGGTCAATGATATGATTTCAGAATTTACAGAAAGGTATTCACTATCTACAGAGTTTATTTAAGATAAGAGATGCTGTATTAGACACAGCTCATATTCCTGGAGAAAATGACACACTTGAACTACTCAAAATGGGTAATTATAATCACGTTCAGTTTTACAAGTAACACAGACTGGTCTATGACACATTAAAAAATTTTATGCTACTGATTTAGAGCCGAAATGTATACTGTTGTCTTGTTAGCTTAAGTATTTTAATGATAAAGTGTCACAAGTAGTACAAAGAACATATGAAACTTATTTAAAAAAGTAGGTGTAAAAAGGGTCAATCTTTACCATGGGGTGACCGTGGCCAAGTGGTCAGTGGTTAAGGTCATTGACTTCAAACCACTTGCACTTCCTTGCTATGAGTTCAAATCCTGACAGTGACTTAGATTCTTTCATGTGAAGAAGCTATCCAGCTAGCTTACAACACGTCAGTGGTTCTACTCAGGTGCCGTTCATGCCTAAGTAATTCAAAGAAGGGCATCCGAGGTCTTCCTCCACCAGTAAAAATGGAAAGTTGATATGACCTATACTGTATTGATACAGCATAAAACTCAGCCAAAAAATTGTTACCATAAACTGACTCGTATAATAAGAATTTATTTCCAGTTTCTTCACAAACAAAAAATATTTTTTCTATTGAGGAAAGCCAGGATATTTTGTTTGGTAGAAAATATTCTAACGGTAGAATTCTTGTTAACAGTAACAGACTATAATTGTTTAAATGTGTTAGAAGCTGACTGGATAAGGTTCTTAACTTTGAATCATGTGCCCATCACAGCTGTAATTTGAATTATATGATATTGAGATACTATCCATCTAACATGCTAACATGGTAAATGTTGGTGCTTTAACTGAGGTATAATGCATGGAAGGGAAATCTTAGGTGTATACATCCACAATGTTATTGTCGAAAAGGGTATAAATCTAACAAAATATATTTATAAAATTACTACACAGTAAATTTATATTGGGTCCATAATGTTATGATTTTTAATTAAAACACATGAGTATATATATATATATGTTAACAGAATAAAATGTACTGAGCTGCTATTTTTAATAAGGTTTTAACTGTTTAGCAATGATGTCATGCTTGAGCTATTCGTTCTTAATAAAGTTCATGTAAACATTTTTTTTTCATAGGATATTTTGGAATTATTCTTTTCCAAAATTAAACAAAATTATGTAAACTACAGGTAGCAGATTTAAAGTTTTATACACTTTATAAAACTATTTTTGCGATAGAAAAAATATTAGAAAGTATTTTAATGCCTTTATCCTTATGAATAATTTTGAGCCATAATTTCTTAACTTTAATGTTTAAAATTATGCAGGTATTTACAGCAGTACTCATCTGCTGGCCTTGATGTATTCTGGAGAGATGTGTTACTGGTTTCTAACATCCTCGAACGAATCAACAGATGCTGAACGTGTCACATGTAACCTTGGAATGGAAGTGTTAGAGACATATATACAAGCGACCGAACAAATGCCAGAACTTGGGGGATGGTCAAATGATCAAGCTAAAAAATATCTCTCAGAAATGAAAGGCAGATGATAATTATATAACACTTATGTTAAAATTGTATAGAAATGAATTGTTAAAAGAACTTTTACAAACAATTTTGTATACTTATATAGAGGAATGTATATTAAGTGTACAATAACATCTCATGTTGGAAATTTAGGTATTTAAAGAAAATGTATATTCTTTTTACGAAGGGTGTAAAGCTGTATATGTGAATCTTGACTATATAAATTTCAAAAACTGTACTATCATGTTGGTTTTAAACCCAAAGTATTGTTTCTTCAAAGTTTTAACAGTGTCTTTTTTATTTAACACACATTGATGTTATTATGTTAATGAATTTAGTGAAGTTTATGGATGATACCATATATACACTGGTTTTTACAGAAAATTACTAACATCAACGAGGGTGGGTCAATTTGTAATGCAATAATTATGGTCAATAGATTTTACAAAAGAGCAAATATTTTGCAGTTTTTAGCTCGACTATACGAAGTATATGGAGAGCTGTCCTACTCGCCCCGGCGTTGGCGTCCAGATTTCAGTTTAAAGTTTTGGTGCAGTAAAATATTTTTCACTATAACTTTGTCATTTCTTAAGGTATCAACTTCAAACTTCAAATATATGTTCCTTATCATCAACCACATCTTATGTGACAAGGTTCATAACTCTAGCACCAATATTTTCAGATTTATCTCCCCTTGAACTTAGAATTTTCCTTAAAAAATACTATTTTTTACTGTAACTTCTTTATTTCTTAAGGGATCACCCTCATACTTCAAATAAATGTACCTTATCATCATCCCCATCTTATGTGACAAGGTTCATAACTCTAGCACCAATATTTTTAAGATTTATCTCCCCATGAACTTAGAATTTTCCTTAAAAATAATATTTTTTACTGTTACTTCTTTATTTCTTAAGGGATCACCCTCATACTTCAAATATATGTACCTTATCATCATCCCCATCTTATGTGACAAGGTTCGTAACTCTAGCACAAATAATTTCAGATTTATCTCCCCTTGAACTTAGAATTTTCCTTAAAAAATATTATTTTTACTGTAACTTATTTATTTCTAAAGGGGTCAACTTCATACTTCAAATATATGTACCTTATCATCATCCATATCTTATGTGACAAGGTTCATAACTCTAGCACCAATATTGCAAGAATTATCTCCCCATAAACTTTTTTTACTAGAAACATGTTATTTTTTACTATAACTTTTTTAGTTTTAAAGGTATCTACTTCAAACTTCAAATATATATTTCTTATCATAACACACATGTTGTGTAACAAGGTTCATAACTCTAGCGTGACTATTTCTAGAATTATTTCCCTTGATCTTGGAATTTATGTTAAGAAATGTTATTTTTTTACTATAACTTAATACATATTAATACATAATTGATTTTTCTTTCATAGTTTTGTCCTCCTTACTGAGTCCAGTATTTTATTAGTCGAGCTTGGCTGTCTCCTGTGACAGCTCTTGTTATTTCAGCCCTTCAGAATAAACTCCTACAGAAAAACAAAGTTTCAGACGTTTAAGAACAGTACGTCAATGGTTTTTCTTCAACATAAAATTAATTATAGTATCTCCTTTGTGTGCAGGAGCATTGTCATGCAGAAAATACAGGCTTTTCATTCCCAGTCGCAATATTAATAAAAGGTTGACTGTCATATTTAGGAAACTTTGCAGTAATTTTTTAACACATTTAACTTGCTTCCTCTTCTTGTCAGAGGTTAGAAAATGGGGTATCCATTTGGCAGTTATCTGTTTAACTCTTAAGAGATTCTTCAGAATTGTACGAGTTAACATTTCTGATTTCCCTGTGATATGAGCTATCTGGGTATGAGAAAATCTGGCATCTTTGTCAATCAAAATGAATGCTATTGTCCGTAACTATGGAGTGTTTTCTACCAGACTTACAGGATATTTAATTGATTAGTGCCCAGTTTTAGCTCACCTGTCGCAAAGAAACAATATGAGCTTTTGTGATCGCAATTTGTTCAGCATCCATCTGTTAACTTTTATTTAAATTACATCTAGTAAACCCATGAGCCAATTTAATCAAAACTTCATAGGAATTTTCCTTGTGTTGTCACCATTGAAAATCGTTCTAAGAATTGAACTCCATGCAGAACTTTGGTTGCCATGGCAACCAAAAGAAAGAACTTAACAAATCTTTAAAAACAACTCAAAGAGCTAGAGCTTAGATATTTATCATGTAACATCTTGTAGTAAGTGTCGACTAAATTTGTTCAAATGAAAGCCTTTAGGTCAAATTTGGTCCCACCCAGGGGTCATTGATGTTCCTTTATATGTATATAGGGTGAAAAAAGTTCTTCTAGAAATGCCAAAAAGTTAGAGCTTGGGTATTTGCCATGAAGCATAAAGGTTTACAGACGGATGCAAGACAAATTGCGATCTTGCTATCCTGTACGAAATTTTCTGCACGGAAATGGGGCGGAATTCAAAGGCAGATTCCGCCCAGAAATTTAAATTCTCCCCCGAATATACAAGTGTTAAACCATTTGCTTTTGGCACGGATTCCGGCCGGATTCCAGGCGGAAATGGAACGGATTCTGGGCGGAATTGGGACGAAATATGCAAATGAGGTGGGGCGGAATTTTGAAGCGGAATCTTGGGGCAGAATTTTGAAGCGGAATCTTATTACCTTTGTTATTAATGAATGGATTGATCTTATATTATACCACAACATTCTTTAAGACAAGACTTTCATGTATATCAAACGCAAATTGATATTAACTCTTTTATGACCATGACTATGAAGGATTTAATTATTGAATTTTCACTGATTTTTGCTATAATTGACTGTAACTTGGTAATTAATAAGTGAATTTTCTTCATACTTTGACAAAACAACATTTTGGACATTACCTTCTACAAGGTTGAAGTGACCTTGATGGATAATATTTGATTTTTACTTGGACAAAACAAGAACATATTGAATGATTTAGATGTGACCTTGACCTTAAATTAACCTTGCCTGTCGATGTCAAATAAATGAAATTCTCTCTTTTTTTTAAATTGGCTATAACTTTGTTATTTATACATGGATTAACTTCATATTTAGACACAGCATCTTTAAGGTCAGGACCTTTATGACTATCAAACTCAAATTGACCTTGACTCATGTATGACATTGACATTGAAGGTCAAATTATTAAATTTTGACTGATAATCGATATAATTGGCTGTAATTTGGTTACAAAACCCAACCAGTCAAAACCCCACACCTCAAAATTTTATAGAGCGGACAAAACCCTACACATGAGTTTTAAAGAGTGGACAAAACCCCACACCTCCAGTTTTATAGAGTGGACAAACCCCACACCTAAATTTTACAGAGTGGACAAAACCCCACACCTCCAGTTTTATAGAGTGGACAAAACCCAACCACCATAAATTTTTCAAAGTGACAAGGAAATGTATTTTACGGGATACGGACAAAAGCTCCCCCCCCCCACCCACCATCTAAAAATGACAGGGTGGACAAAAGCCCCCCCCCCCCATCTAAAAATGACAAGGTGGACAAAAGCTCCCCCCCCCCATGAAATTTACATGTAGGACAAAAGCCCCCCCTCCCCCCCATCAAAAATACAGGTAGGACAAAAGCCCCCCCCCCCCAATCCATCAAACAAGAACTTGATGTATTGAGACAAGTCAAAATCAGTATGTTTAATTTAACAAATAAATGCAATTGTTTTAAAAGATAATTTATATTAAGATTTAAATTTAAAGGTAGAAAAGTTCTAATTTGATTTATTGTGTAATTCGTATATATATAATTCATTGATGAAGTGAATGTTTTTATGTTTACTTTATTATATATTGTGCAGTACAAATGTAAATGAATATTTTCAGAGAATCGCTTATCAAGGAAATAAAAGTGAAAGGCGCATACTTGTTTAGATTTATTTGAAGTATAACCCAAGTTAACGAACAGTGGGAGTGTGAAAAAAGATAGTAATTAGTCTGGTCTATAAACCTTAGGGGGGGCTTTTGTTTGATGGACTGGGGGGGGGGGGCTTTTGTCCTACCTTTATTTTTGATGGGGGTGGGCTTTTGTCCTATGTGTTAATATAATGGGGGGGGGCTTTTGTCCACCTTGACATTTTTAAATGGGGGGGGGGGGCTTTTTGTCCTACACTCGTATTTTACATGAACTACATTTGAATTAATGTTTTTTCATTTGAATGTTTTATTATTTTTTTTTATTTTCATATACATATATGTACATATTTATTGGAAAGGAATATTCTTTATTTCTGCCAGATATCCTAGTTTAAAAATGTATATCTGATATAATTAATGAAATATTTTTCAATTGCTATTATTGGTCATAAATAATTGTGGCACAGTTATTAAAATTTGACTCAAATAAATTTTTACTCTGATGTTTTAACAGTTTTTAAATTGTTTGTAAATTGTTTGTATAATCTCATTCATATTGTATTGCTATTGAAATAAATGCTACACTTGCTACATTGTTCTTTAGGGATTTGGATTAAGGGTTTTTTGTGTACAGTTTGTAACACCTTTTTGAGAAGATGATCTCAAGAGTAAAATTGTTTTCTTAAACATGTTTTATTGGTGAAATTTGATATGCATTTGAATTTAAAAAATATGTAAAAAAGAAATAATGTGTTATATTATATTAAGATATATGTATTTTAATACATCAAATCTTGCCCAATCATTGAAGGTGATGGGGTTTTGTCCACTCTGTAAAATTTAGGTGTGGGATTTTGTCCTCTCTATGTAATTTTGAGGTGTGGGGTTTTGACCGGTGGGGTTTTGTCCGATTCCCCGTTAATTAATCAATGGATTATTTTCATACCAGGACAAAACAACCTTTTGGACAAGACCTTCTAAACGGTTGAAATGACCTTTACCTTAAGCTTTAAATGACATTGACTGTCAATGTCAAAGTATTGGATTTTGGTAAAGTTGTCATAATTTTGTTATTTATACGTGAACAAAACAACACTTGTGACATCTTGTGCTCACACACGTTTTGTCAGCCATGTTACTACACAATCATGCAGGCTGTCCAGCGTCCCTAAAATTCCTAAAAAAGCCTAATTTTTTTCAGTTTGACTAAAATTCCTAAAAAAATGAAAAATTCAAAGGGAATTCCTAAAAAAGCCCTATTTTTTCACTTAAATTCCTATTTTTTTATCTTTTGTGATAAACATATCGCGAAACAACCATGT